GGCGCCGAGCCTAGTTTTTCTATTTTTAGTAGAAATGGGTTCTCACTCTTCCTCAGGCTGGTCTGAAAATCCTGAGTTCAAGCAATCCACCTGTTTCAGCCTCCCAGAGTTCTAGGATTACAGGCGTAAGCCACCATGCCTGGCCCCAGAATATTTTATATTAATGTTTGTATTTTCCCTATCATTGCTAAACTGATGGGCAAGATTGTATTTCATCTTCAAAAATATGCCTATCTTTGATATTCTCAGTAGATGTAGCATATTATATTAAATCTTATTGGCTATTTGCTCTCTTCTGATGGGTCTGTTGGTGACCATCAGTTTTCTCACAGGAGTGCTGCATTTTCTTAGTGATTACTGAGGGCTTTTAAAGTAGTAAGCATGTACTGCATGTGTTTTCCCCAGTTTGTTGTTTGCCTTTTCATTACATTGTTCTATTAATAAAACCATGTTTCTTGTTTCTTTTTCTTAAGCCTTTTAATTCTATGAAAATTGTTCTTAGCAACCTTGCCAACCTGTGGGAGAATCCTGCAGGGGAACGAATTCACCCTACACACATCTGGAGACTAAACAGCTGGGTTTTATGCTTCTGTACCATTCTCACAATGATATACATGATGTGATTAATGAAAGGACTGATTAGTCTGAAAGCATTACTGAATTCATGGTAACAGCTGGTCATTGCTGTTTTATTCAGTCACTAGAGGCTAAGTGCAAATGACTACGATGCAGAAGTTAGCCACTGCTGTTTCCTCCGAGGACGATTCTGGGGGGTCTTCTGAAGCTTTCTACCTCCATACTTCGGAAGTAGGGGGAGAGGGACCTGACAATCCCTTTGGGTTTTGATGGGTTTTGTACTTTTGTGTATGCCTGCAGGATAAATTCCTAATGGATAAGAGCATGCGTACTTTTTTTTGAGACAGTGTTTCACTTTGTCATCTTCCGTAGAGGGCCATCACGTCACAGCTCACAGCAACTTAAGCTCTTGGGCTTAGGTGATACTCTTGCCTCAGCCTCCCGAGTAGCTGGGACTACAGGCACTTGCCACAATGCCCCGCTATTTTTTTGGAGACAAGGTCTCACTCTAGCTCAGGCTGGTCTAGAACCTGTGAGCCGAGGCAATACACCCACCTTGGCCTCCCAGACTGCTAGGATTACAGGTGTGAGCCACTGAAGCCAGCCAAGAGTATGTGCACTTGAAACTTTTTTTTTTTTTTTTGAGACAGAGTCTCACTATGTCACCCTCGGTAGAGTGCTATGACATCACAGCTCACAGCAACCTCAAATTCTTGGGCGATTCTCTTGCCTCAGCCTCCCAAGTAGCTAGGTCTACAGGCATCTGCCACAACACCTGGCTATTTTTTTGTTGCAGTTGTTTAGCTGGCCTGGGCTGGGTTCAAACTCACCAGCCTCAGTGTATGTGGCTGGCACCGTAACCACTGTACTACAGGTGCTGAGCCTAAACTTTTTTTTTTTTTTGAGACAGAGCCTCAAGCTGTTCCCCTGGGTAAAGTGCTGTGGCATAGCTCACAGCAACCTCCAACTCTTGGACTCAAGAGAGTCTCCTGCCTCAGCCTCCCAAGTAGCTAGGTCTACAGGCATCTGCCACAACACCTGGCTATTTTTTTTTTTTTTTTGGTTGCAGCCATCATTGTTGTTTGTTGGGTCCAGGCTGGATTCGCACCCCCCCCCTTAGGTGTATATGGCTGGTGACTTAGCCACCTGAGCCACAGGCGCTGAGCCTTAAATTATTAAATATTAAATATTATTAAATTACCCTCCAAAGAGGACACTTCTTCCAATGTGTCTGAGGGTGTTCAGTCCTCAAAAGCTACCCCATACCATAGTGACCTTCATGAAAGCTAATAATCCTTCATTGGAAATCTATTCCTTTTTCCCCTCCTCTGGGTTTAAAGTCCACTGCTAGTTTCCTCTGGTGTTTTATAAGCACAGTGTAATTACACCCTAGCAGGGGGGTCCAGCAACTTCTAGAAAGAAAGTAGAATCTGTGGGTGGAGCTTGGTCATAGGACACCTAGAAGACCACTGTCATGGCCCCTTTATCCTAACGTTGCTCTCTCACTCCACCCGACCCCTCCTGCTCCCAAGCTACCATGCCCTCTTTTTAAAAAAGGAAGTGAAAGTATACAATTGTAAAGTGTGTCTAAAAAAAACTGAATAAATAAAACGTAAAAAATAAAGAAAAGCGATAGGACGTGGTTACCTGGTCACAATCAACAAGGATGCTGGGCTGAGGCCCTTAAAAGTTCACAACCTACTGGCAGGATTATTTTTAAGTCACTTTTTTGGGCCAGCCACCTTTTCAAAGTCTCTCACACAGTAATTTTAGTAGTAAAATTACTACTATCTTAACTTTAATTAGTATGGTAATTGTAAGTTTGAGCATTTTTATCACTTAATTGGGTATTTTAGTTTACATTTCTGTTTCTGCTCTTTATTTTTCTCTTTTTTCCTTTCTGATTAAAAAAAAATTATTATATGTGGTGCCAAAGCGAGCACATAAAAAGTACGATTGCTGTTTCTGATTCATAACGTCTTTTAACATAAGGGAAGATAACCCTTTGTCTACCATCCCCGGCAAGTAATTTTTCCAAGTTTGCTTTTGTGCTTTATAGGACTTTTCTCTCTAACTGCAGTTTAAGATATTTATATATTCAGGATTACCCATTTTTCCTCTTATTGTTTCTCTAAGATTATTTTTTAATTTCACAGTGTGTTCTCCAATCGTTTACTTTTTATGATAGCCTGTTTGACCCAAATAAAATTAATAGGACTGCCCTTGGTGATACTAGCTGCATCGAATTCGTCTTCACCACATCCTGCACTCACCGGCTTGAGCACTCTGCACACTTCTCGGAGAATCTGTTCCTGGTTCTGCACTGAGCACAAGACCAGGGTACAGACCACCACATCCATAGAGCCATCGGCCACCTGGTGCATGTTCTCCCCAGAAGCCACCACAAAACGCTCAAATTGCAGATGTCGGTTTTCAGCAACGCTCTTGATCAAAAACTTCTCAAAGTTGGGATTGGGGTCAACACAGGTCACTCTGCACCCAGATGGGTAGAACTTGAAGTTGGCCCCTGTGCCACAGCCCACCTCCAGCAGGGACAGCTTCCCAGAGGGGCCCACAAACTCCTGCAGGTTGCCAAAGAGCTCCCTCTTTTTGCTTGCCATTTGTTCGTTGTATGTCACAGTGAAACTCGCCAAGAAATAGGGGAACCATTTTTTGCATATCCAGCTCCACAAGCCCAGGAAGTCCATCAGGAACACGGGAAATGCCAGGATGTAGATGGCCAGTCGGAGAATAAAGATGGTAAGCGCCATCGCTCAGAAGAGAGGGAAAAACAGACCCACAGTTAGAGAGCCCCGTGTCCTTAACCGCGGGACACAGGCTTCTGGCCACGCTGGGGAGCCAATCAGCTGCAGAGAAAAGAACTGGCTGTGCTGAAGAGACGCAGCTCAAGTCCCTGGCAAGTTGCCCGTTTTGCCTAATTAATAGTCACTTGGCGGAAGCTGACTCAGCTTAGTTTTCATGAAGCAGAATGAGAAGGTTCTCAGTTTTTCTTTAGAAGTAAAGTCGATTGCAATCCTGTACTTCTCCCCCTTTCTGGGTTTGGAGACTGCCGCTAGGGCCCTGCTGGAGCGTAGTTGCACTCACACCCTTTCAAGGTCGACCAGCAACTTCTACCAAAAAAAAAAAAAAAAAAAAAAAAAATCTGTGGGTGGAGCCTGGTTAAACAACACCAGAAGACCAATGCCAAGGCCCTTGTATCGCGACACATTCCTCCCTCACTCCACCCCCTTCTTTTTCCAAACTCCCAAGCTCTGTTTTCTGAAAAGGAAGTGAAAGGGCAAGCCTGCCTGGCCGCTGTCAACAAGAATTCCCGAGTGTCCATTCTGGGCTAGGCTCTCATGTGTTCCTAGCTTAGCAGCAGGATTATTTTTAAGGCATTGTTTTGAGACACCCATCTTGTAAAGGGCAGGTCTCAATCTTCATATTGTGCCGGACTACAGAATTACTGAGCTATCTTACATAAAAGGAGTCTCCAGAATTTGGAAGCCTAAAGGATACAGAGAATAGTTTAAAGCATCCATCTGATTTTAACAAGATAGCTAGAGCTTTAGAAGCATTAGGAAATACAGAAATAGAAAAAAAAAATAACACTCACTTTTATTTTATTATTTTAACTTAATTTTAGTTTTTAAGACAGAGTCTCACTTTGTTGCCTTGGGTAGAGTGTCATGACATAATAGCTCACAGCAACTTCCAACTCTTGGATTCAAGCGATTCTCTTGCCTCAGCCTCCCAAGTAAAGTAGCTGGGACTACAGCCCCATCCCCCACCCCCAACGCCTGCTATTTTTAGAGACGGGGTATCATTCTGGCTCAGGCTGCTCTCAACTCCATGACTTGCCCCACTTTATTTCTTTTGTGACTCTGTATCTCTTTCTATCGCTCTCATTTTTTTTTTTTTTTTTTACTTTTGTACTTACCTTTTTTCGGTTTTCTTTAGGGAAACACCCTTAATGTTCCTGAAATGTTTTCAGAATTGTGAAAACAAAATGGCATTCTAGAATTCTTAGCAAGGACAGTCACTGGATCACAAAGCCTGCTCTAGAGGGATGACATTGAATGTTCAAATCAATTAATAAAATACTTAATGTTAGGTGATGTTCTTTCTTGCGGGGAGAGAAGAACGGCTTGGCCGAGGGTGCAAGCTCACTCCTAGAATTGTTTAAAAGCAAGAAACAACTACATACTCTTAGGTGGCACGTAGCAAAATGTCTTTATTTTCCACTCCCCTTTATTGGGAGCTAGTCACGTACACCACATTGATCAATAATCCTAACATCCTCATTTCTTATCTTAAACTATAGAAAAGAAAATCCCGGAAAGTGAGATAGCCATCATAAGATTAGCCTAAAGAAAGAAAGTCCGGGAAAGTAAGACAACCATCTTAAGCTAGCCTCAGGCTGGCTATTCCTCTTGGAAGACCTAAAAGAACAATACATTATCTGACTTCTATTGTTAAAGTTAAAGGTTAGGATAAACAGAGGAGGAAAACCTTTCTCTTCTATGTACTCAATTAAATTTCCAAGAAATTGGCATGACTGTTTTCTTATGGTTTTGGAGACCCCGCAGTTATGATGGAGTATTTTACTCACATCATTAAGATGGAGTTTTTCTTTTTACTCACATCAACCTTTGAGTCATGTCCTCTGCACAGATGGGCCGTTTCAACTCTTATCTGACATGCTGACTTCTCTGCACAGTCGGGGTTCCCTGTAGGAGATTTTTAAGCCTGGCCTGCAGGCCCCCACCGTGTTTTCCCAGGTCGCTTAGGGCTTCGACAAAAGCACATAATACTCACAAGTCTTTTCGCTCAGTTCTGGAATTAAAAGAGCACATTTCATTTAATTTTTGTGGGGGTTTACTTCACACTTAATGTTCAAAAAATCCCCACAAAACCAATGCACTGATACCTGCAACGAGAGAAATGGACCTCATAGATTAAAAGAAAACATAGTGTATACTGGAGTATTACATTTACATGAAGTTCAAAGACAGGCAAAACTGAGGTTGTGATAGAGGTAATTGGCAGTGATGGACTGGGAGGGTAACAGATGAACCTTCTGAGATACTAGAAATGTCTTATATCTTTGTACGCTGGACATTTAGAGATTGTGCACTTTATTTATGTAAATTTGCCTCAGTATAAAAGAAAAGGAAACAATGTAATAGGACTGTTTAAGAAAAAAGATAAAGGATGTACACAGATAATATTAGGAATAAAAAATGCAACATATGTACAGATACAACAGAAGTGTTAACTACCCTAAGAGAATGCTACCTACAACTTGTATGCTAACATTAATACATGCGAAGATGTGGAGGAACTGAATAATTTTCTGCAAAATAGAAAATACCAATAATGCTTCAAGAGGACAGAGAAAACTGATTAGACTACTAAATGCTAAATAAGCCAGATCAGGGGCCAGGCTTGGAGTTCACACCTATAATCCTAGCACTCTGGGAGTCCAAAGCAGGAGGATCATTTGAGCTCAGGAGTTCCAGACCAGCTTGAGCAAGAGCAAAACCCTATCTCTACAGAAAAATAGAAAATTTTTTCCAGGCGTGATGACACTCACCTGTAGTCTCAGATACTGAGGAGGCTGAGAGAATAGCAAGTATCACTTCAGCCTAGGAGTTGGAGGTTACAGTGAGTATAATGATGCCATTGCATTCTAGTCATGGTGACAAAGCCAGATTGTTTCCAAAAAAAGAGCTAAATTGGTAGTAAAAATTCTCTCCTTCATAGTCCTACATGACTTTATGAAGAAATTTTTACCAAACCTACAATCTCTTTTATATAAACAGTTCTAGAAAGTAGAAAATTAAGGAAATTAACGCATTTTATAAAGCTACTAATATTAGGACAGATAGAAATATTAGATCATATAAAAAGAAAATTCACAGGCTAAACTCACTTATGAATAATGACAAAAAGATCTTAAATAAAATGGCATCAGATAAAACTCCAAAGTAAGGGCAGGCTCTGTGACTCATACCTGTAATCCCAGTACTCTATGAGGCCAAAGTGGGAGGATCCCTTGAGCTCAGGAGTTCCAGACCTACCTGAAGAAGATCAAGACTCCTCTCTACGGCTCAGCGCCTGTGGCTCAAGCAGCTAAGGCGCCAGCCACATACACCTAAGGTGGCGGGTTCGAAT